GAGGGACAGGACGGAAGGGAGGGAGGGGAGGAGAGGGAGGGGAGGGAGGAGATGGAACGAAGGGTGGGGAGGGAGGGGAGGGAGCGGAGGGAGGTGGGGAGGGGGATTGCAGTGGAATGGAGTGCAATCGATTGCAAGCGATTCGATTGGGATTTTCGATCGTCGATCGTTGATCGTCGATCGTCCATCCTCGATCGTGGATTGTTCATTTTGGATCGTCGGCGAAAGGGAGGGCGGAGGCTCCGGGGGCTGGGCGGCCAAAGGGGGCAAGGGGGGGGGGCAAGCTTCCAAGCCCCCCCCCCCTTTGGCACAAAGGGGGGGAGGGGGGTGGGAGCTTCCAGCAGGGCGGCTCCAAGGGAGGGGGGCGGTAGCTTAAGCACCCCCCCGGGGGTAGGGGGGGGTAGCTTCCGGGGCGGCCAAAGGGGGGTGGGGGGTGGGTAGCTTCCAAGCCCCCCTCCCCCTTTGCACGAAAGGGGGGGAGGGGGGGAGGTAGCTTCCAGCAGGGCGGCGCCAAGGGAGGGGGGGGTGGCTTAAGCACCCCCCCCCCCTTTGGAAAGAGGGGGAGGGGGGGTTAGCTTCCGGGGAGGGCCCAAGGGGGGAGGGGGGGGTTAGCTGTAAGCCCCCCCCCCTTGCAAAAAAAGGGGGGGAGGGGGGTGGCCCAACAAGGGCGGCTCAAGGGAGGGGGGGGGGATAGCTTAAGCCTTAAGCCTAGCCCGCCCTCCCCTTTGCTCGGGCCCTGTGGGCGCGCTCTCTCGTATGATAGTGTGTAGGTGTTCTGCATGTGTGTATATGTGTATGTATGTATGTATGCATGTATGTATGCATATATATATATACATGCATGCATGCATGCATGCATGCATGTATGTATGTATGTATGTATGTATGTGTGCATGTATATATGTATGTGTGTATGCATGTATGTATGTATGTATGCCTGTCTGTCCGTCTGTCTGTATGTATGTATGTATGTATGTATGTATGCATGCATGCATGTATGTATGTATGTATGTATGCATGTATGCATGTATGTATGTATGTATGTATGTATGCATATATGTCTGTCTGTCTGTCTGTCTGTCTGTCTGTCTGTCTGTCTGTCTGTCTGTCTGTCTGTCTGTCTGTCTGTCTGTATGCACGTATGTATGTATGCATGTATGCATGCATGTATGCATGTATGTATGTAGGTATGTTCTTATGTTTGTATGTACGAAAGAGTGTATGGTTGTATGTGTGCATGTGTACATGTATGTAGGTATGCATGTATGTACGTATGTATACATGTATGCATTTATGCATTTAGTTGTGTATTTTATATGCATGCATGCACGCATGCACGCGTGTCTGTCTGTCTGTCTGTCTGTCTGTCTGTCTGTCTGTCTGTCTGTCTGTCTGTCTGTCTGTATGTATGTATGTATGTATGTATGTATGTATGTATGTATGTGTGTGTATGTATGTGTGTATGTATGTATGTATGTATGTATGTATGTATGTATGTATGTATGTATGTATGTATGTATGTATGTATGTATGTATGTATGTATGTATCAATGTATGTGTGTATTATCTTCTGGGCGACCAGGTCCTGGGCCCCCAAACTCCCCCCCAAACTCACTTTTTCTTTGGGGGTCTGGGAGCTGTCCAGAAGCTCTTTGGGGGCCTCCAGAAAGCTATTTCGGCTTCAAGGGACTTCTAAAATTGTTCGGGGGGAGGGTCCACTCTTCCCACGAGGCTCCCAGGCTCCTCCAGGAGGCTTCCAGAGCTCCGCAGAAGCTCTCGACAGTGTTACATGGCGATCCTGCGCCGCCCCCCCTCCAGCCCCCAGCTCTGCGAGGACGCCCCCGCGGGCTTCACATCGTTAAACTCATCGTGTTTGTTTATGTTCGTTTGCTTTTTCGCTGCTGCGCATCCGATGGATATTGAAGCCCCAAGATGGCGCCTAGATCGTCCAAGAGAGCCCCAAGGGAGTCCCAACGCGGGCCCAAGATGACCCAACAGGTCCCCGCGACGGCCTTGAGAGGGGCCAGGATGCCTCCCAGAGGCCCCCAAGAGGCCCCCAAGAGGCACCCAAGAGGCCCCCAGAGTTCCCCCAGAAAGCTTGAAGAGGCCATAGGAGAGCCCGGGCAGGATTCCAGGAGGCCCGCGAGACTGCAAGCAGGTCCCCAAGCAGTGCCCAAGAGGCCAGAAGAAGCCCCCGGGAGGCCCAAAAGAAGCCCGAAGAGACCCCACGCGGCCCATGACAGGCCCCCCGCAAGGCTTCAGAATTGCTTGCAAGCAGCCAGCCCCACTAGGCTTCAAACTCGCCCCACCGAGACTTTCCAGAAGCTTCCCAAGAGACCCCAGCAACCATCCAAGAGGCTTCTGGCCCACAACCCAGGAACGGTGACGGCGTTCACCCGTTCCCCTGGGTTTTATTTGGCCCAAGAAAACTTCAAGAGGGCAGCAGGGGGCCCCCGGAGCAGCTTCCCGAGCGGGCCCCTGGACGCCTTCGGCGCCAGGATGGCCCCAAGAGGCCCCTGGCGGCCGCCATGGGCCCCCGGGAGAGAAACAATACGGCGGAAAATGAAAGAGGGGAGAGGCTCCATATTATTTCACCGTCGACGAAGGCATCAAGATTGCATCCCGCAGCTCACCATGGCGGGCGCTCGTCGTCGCGCTAGCCTGGGGGGGCGGGAACAAGGAGCATGGTTCTGGGCGGCGGGCCATTTTCGCGGCCCGTCTCCCAGCGATGTGGCGGGCCATTTGTGGCCCATCCTGTCGCTCGCGACATCTCGCCTCCTCCCAGGATGTCCCGAGGCGCCCCCTCGGCCGCGAGACGGGGTCAAGGGGGGGCCCCTGGGGGACGCTCAAGGTTGAAGCCTTTGTGTCCCGAGGCGCCCCAGTTGCGAGATGCGGTCAAGGGGGGGGCCTGGGGTGCGCTCAAGATGGGAGCCTTTTTGTCCCGAGGCGCCCCTCTGGCCGCGAGACGCGGTCAAGGGGAGGTGCCCGGGGGGCGCTCAAGGTTGAAACCGTGGTGTCCTGGACGCCCCCCCCGGCCGCGGGATGCCGTCAAGGGGGGAGGCGTCCAAGGAGTTCTATCCTGGGCTGGCCGCGCGTGCGTTCGCTATGCCTCCCGTCGACGATGCGCGAGGCCGCGACGTCCAACACATGCGTGTCTGTCTGCCTCTTCCTGCTGCTGCCGCTCCTCCGGGTTGTTCACACAGCTGGCCTTGTATCGGCTTTTCGCTTTTGCAGTCGGGCCCTGTCCACCGTATTGCCGACCCTTGCCCTGCCAGTCGCCCCGCGCTCTTACGTGAGTCGCGGTTGGCTGCGCCGCTGAGCCGTCCACGCTTGCATGCCGCCTCTTTCTTTCCTGCACTGGCTGTGGCCCGTTTTCCTTGCACGTGTCAGATACGTTTTGACAACCTGCTGGCAGACGCTCGGTCGTAATTGATCTTGGCGTGTTCCGCCCTCGAGCTTTTTTCGTTAGATCAACTGGTCGGGAAGTGACGAGCGTGTGTGTATGTGTGTGTGTGTGCATAATCTCGTTTTCTGTCTCTCTATGTCCCCTGCTTCCTCTCCTACTCGCATTGTCGTGGCGCATTTGCTGACGTTGAGGCGATCTTCTCGCCGTGAGGGGAGAATTTCACCGTCTCCATCCCACGGATCTGGGGATGGGTTGGGCTCCTGGACCCTGCACCCCCCCTGCGCACACGGGGCGTAAGCTGTACGAGCGGGCAGCGTGGCACGCTCCAGGAGGAGTGGGAGGGGATAATATCAAAGAGGATGGGGAGGAGGGGGGGAGGGGGGGAGGAGGACGTGGATGAGGTGGGGCACCGTCGGACCGTCGGCATCAGGAACAGAAGGATGTGGACCTAAACAACAAAGGCACTGGACACTCTTGACTGTTTAAGGTAGGCTGCCGTTTGGGTTCTGCCTTGTGTCGCGGGCCGCCCTCGACGTCGAAGTGAGAGGACGTGGAATGAGTACAATGAGGTCGGAGCGGGAAGGAAGAGAGGGAAGTATGGAGGTGGAGGAGGAAGACGGAAGAGCAGGAGGCGGGATTAGAGCAGAGGATATTGGGAATATTTACATTCAGGAGATACGATGTTGGAAGTTGTGTAGGTGGGTGATGGCGAGGGGCTCTGGAGCGCTGGGGGGACACAGTGGGGGGCAATTGTAGAGTACAGGTCGGCCACGATTTTGCGACTTGGCTTCAAGGCAACAGCTCGGCCCACATCATACCGTCGGGGGGCATTTGCGCCGCTGTGTCGAAGGTCTCGTCGGGCGCTGTGCGAAAAAAGTTACCTCACCAGGGCCCGCGCCACGCCAGTTTGCTTGCGGATGCATCGTGGACAGGACAGGGGTGGTTGAAGGGACGAGATTGGCTGTATAAGGAGGGATGATGGTGATGACGATGAAGACTGGTTATGGCAACGATGACGATTAGAAGGATCATGGGTATGATAATGGCGACTCAATGCTGGTGATTATGTTGATGATGATGATGGTGATGACGATGACTATGATGATGACGATGCTGCTGCTCTTGATGATGCTGCTGATGATGATGGCGATGCTGATGATGATGATGCTGCTGATGATGATGATGGTGGTGGTGGTGATGTTGATGATGCTGATTACGCTGATGACGATGCTGTTGCTGATGATGGGGGTGAATGTGATGATGATGGAGATGATGGAGATGATGGTGATGATGCTGATGCTGATTATGATGATGATGATGATGCTGATGATGATGATGATGATGATGATGATGATGATGCTGATGATGATGATGCTGATGATGATGATGATGATGATGATGATGATGATGATGATGGTGATAGTGATGGTGATGGTGATGCTGGTGATGATGACGCTGAGTATACTTCTGATGGCGATGGAGAACGAGGAGGAGGATTCGGAGGAAGAGGAGGAGCATAAGGAGCGGGATCAGGTGGAGGATACTGGATGGCAGCTTATTTCGCGGTCGCAAAGGGAGCCGAGTGGCACGGCAGGTGCTGACAGCTCCATGAGTTCCAGTAGGCCTTCGACCACTACTGAGGCAGCGCCACGCCGCCCTCTGAAGACGGATACAGATCTTGGTGTGTTGAGTTTCTCTGATCGTTTTTCGGTTCAGGCTTAGAAGCTAGGGGCTCCAGGGCACGAGTGGATGAATACTTGAGGTCGTTTTGCGTGTGCTGTAACTCGCGCCATGGTATCGTTGGGAGAGCCGCAATTCTTCTACATTTGGAGCTGTATGCCTTCGCCCTCATACTCAGACTCACCCACACCGATACCAATTCACATTCAGGCTCACTCACACTCAGGCTCACAACCCTTCATATTCGTTCATACTTCGACTACCTCGCACCCAGGCTCACTCATGCTCATATTTGTGTTCGTCACACTGGAACTCAGACTCACCCACACTCAGACGCACTCACACTCAGACCCACTCGCAGTTAGACTCGCTCGTAGTCAGACTCACTCCTACTCAGACCCACTAGTGCTCACACGGGCTATACCCAGACTCACACTCAGGCTGGACCATACCTTGATTCGCTCACATTCCTACGGGCCCACACTCAGATCACCCACGTTCAGATCCACTGGCATAAAGGCTCAATAAAACATAATAGCTGGCGTGGCACTTGAGCATCTCGAGTGCTAGCAGGTGCGCCGCGAGTAGTACGCCAGTGAGTGGGCGTAGCAAAGCCATGCGCGCTTGCCTGATTTGCCTCGGGGAGAACGGCACGAAGAACTCCCCCTTGCTCTTCCACTTGTGGTTCCCTTGTCTCTCCTGAACGATGTCCAGAGTAAGAGGCGGAGGTTGCCGAAGTCGTCGCTGTCGTCGTCATTACCGCGCCAGTCGTCTACGCGGGCTCGCCCCCATATGCAAATGTTTACAGACAGACTTTCTCAACGAAGCGTGGCCAGAGTAGGAGATGCACATACGGGATCTCGGCGTCGAGTAATTATTCAGAGCGCGTCGGTTTCTTCCCCCATCAGCCTCCTCAGCCTCCTCAGCCTCACTCGTCACACCCCGGCCCATTCACTTTCAGGCATACTCAGACCCATTCAGATTCACTCATACTCAGAGTCGCCCATATTCAGACTTACTCACATTCACGCCCACTCACACCCCAGACGCACTGATACTCCGACACGCCCACCCTCAGACTAACTCATTTCCAGACACACACACACACGCACTCAGACTCACTCGCAATCACGCACGCCCAGATCCACTCACACCTCGACCCTCGTTCGCGCCCAGGGAACGAGGATGTCTCAGACGAGGATCTGGAGTCAGCACTCCCGATCGGGAACCGCCGGGGGTATTGCACGGGCCCGTTCGCCCCCAATTTGGGATGTCTCAGGCGGTTCGCCGATGTTGGTGGCCACCATCCTCTGCTTTCGGAACAGATTGTGAGGGCGTCTCAGGCGAGGCGCTGGCTTCAGCACTCCCAAGGGGAAGGCGCCAGGGGGTATTGCATGAGCCCGGTCGCGCCCAGATGGTGGTGATGTTTTACACGGCTTGCTTGTCTTATCACCATCTTTTGCTTTCGGAACAGATTGTGCGGATGTCTCAGGCGATGTGCAGTCTTCAGCATTCCCAACAGGGAGCCGCCAGAGGGGTATATCACGGGCCCGTTCGCGCCCAGATTTTTGGTATATTTCATGCGGTTTGCTTGTTTGGGTGGCCAGATTCGTTTCCGTTCGGAGCAGGTTGTGGTCTCGGGCGAGGCGTTTGTTTCAGCACCCCAAGGGGAGGGACTGTCAGAGGGTATTGCGCGGGCCCGTTCGCGCCCACGTTGAGGGGATACCTCAAGCGGTTTGCTGGTTTTGGTGGCCAGACTCGTGCGCGTTGCGAACAGATTGCTAGGATGTCTCAGGCGAGGCGCTGGGTCCAGCACCGCAAGGGGACCGTCAGTGGGTATATCACGGGCCCGTTCGTGCCCAGATTATCTCACCCATCACACTCATATTCAACCATACTCAGACTCACTCGTGCCCAAACGCATTCGTATTCGACTCGCTCACATTCAGGCTCGCTCGCAGTGTTATTCAGGTTCGCCAGCCCGCAGACTCAACCATACGCAAATTCACTCGTACGCAGGTTCGCTCGTATTCTGACACATGCCCATCATCATCATATGCTGACTCAGTTGCGCTGGCACACACATGCCGCCATGTACGCTCGTACTTCTGACACATGCCCCGATGTACGCCGCGAGCACACACAATGACGTTGGCAGTTCGGCAGTGATGCGAACATTCAGGTACACGCAGCACAACCTGGCAATTGCATCGAGACGACGTTCGCAGCACGACGCGTGCCATCAGCAGGGCGAGCAGCGCGGCCATGGATCAGCACGTCGGTAACCGGCGCAATGGCCATGAAGTGGACGATGACCGTACCGCCGTCGTTCGGTGTTGCTGCGGCACCCGATCGAGTCATGCGGCCCAACGGAGGCGGACACATCGTGCCCCCCTTTCAAATCTTGCCCGCGATCGCATGACCTTCAGCGGCTTCGAGGCGCGCGCCGTCTTCAGCATCTTTGCCAGCAGCTTCGGCCCTTGCAGTGGCTCAGGCACAAGCGTCGGCAGTAACGTCATACCAGCTCCGGCGTAGACAACTGCGGCCTCGACGGTGGCACCGACTCCAGCCAGCATGAGCGCCAGCGTCGACTCGTGCGCCGGCGCCAGCAGCATCGACTCCAATTGCGACGTCAACAGCGTCGGCGCCGGCACGGGCTCGACGCCTGCATCGCCGCTGGCGCCGACTCTAGCAGCGTCGGCGCCAGCGCCGACTTCGGCATCGATGCCAGCAGCATCGCTTCCGCCACTTCCAGCTGCACCGACGTCGACAGCATCGTCGCCTGCAACGACCTCCGTTTCGAATCCAGCATTGGAGTCGAAAGCGGCAGCACCACCTCAGGCTGGCACCGACTCCAGCAGCATGGCCGCCAGTGCCGAGTTGTGCCTCCACGCCAGCAGCATCGACTCCCGCGCCGACGTCAACATCGTCGACGCCGGCACCTGCTCTGGCACCGTCGCAATAACGGTACCGTGTCTTTCACTGGCAGTGACTGACTCTAGCAGAGCCCGACACTAGCACCGACTTCGGCATCGGTGCCAGCAGCATCGGTTCCAGCTTTGCCAGCGGCACCGACGTCAACAGCACCGACGCCAGTACCGACTCTGACATCAACGCCAGTAGCATGGACGCCAGCGCCAAGTCTGGCCTTTGCTCCGACAACTTCGACGCCAGCTCCGATTTCAGCGCCGTCACCAGCAGCACCCACGCAGGCATCGACTTCGGCACCAAAGCGAGCATTACGGACGCCGCCGCCGACGCCAGCATCGACTCCAACTCTGACGTCAGCATCATCGCTGGCCGCCAGCAGCGCGACCTCCAACAGCACGCTGGGCAGCAGCAGCAGCACGACTCCGCCAACCTAGGGTGTGAGGCGCGGTATTCTGAGCAGCGCTGGTGTGATCAGGAATGCGGGAGTACGACATGCCACTTCCACCCTTACTACTCGGCGTCCAGCCTCCGCACGATCATCTGGCTCCTGGCCTCTAGCGGGCGACGTCCCACTTGCGCCATCCCCTGTTAGCAGCATACCTCCACCAACCCGGCACTCTGCTCCCCTGGTTCTGTCGCCCCCCTCCCGCCTCCCTATCGGCTTGCAGTTTGCATCCTCCACCGCGACCGCGTCTCGGGCGCACATAGCACCAGTATGAAACCGGCATGGAAATTGCATGGCAAATATTGATGGACAAATTCAAGCGGGCATTTCGCGCCTTGCGCTCTGGGTGCCTGTGCGCGACTAGATTCCGCCATGTTTTGCTCTGCGTGTTTCAAAACAAAGCATGCTGGGCGTGTTTTCCCAATATGGGTTGGGCGCTCGCGTTCTTTTGGCCGTGGCGTGCGATCTGTCTTCCTATGGCACTTATATGCGCTTACGTTTTTTAGGTTCTCTCTCCGTTGGCCTGGCTCGCGTTGTTATCGCAATTTCGCGATGTTGCCCCCGCCGTGCTGCGCCGTCAGATGGGGCGACCTCGCGCGCCCATGGGCTTAATCCGACCCACCGCCCACGCATGTCGCGCCCGACAATGGAAAACCAGCGTGGGCCAGCATTGCCAGGCGCTACATGTATTACACCACATAGCGTGCACCACGTAGAGTCCAGCGCATATATTGGCTCACGTAGATTGCACTACGTAGCTTGCACCAGCCGGTCCGCTTGAAGGCACTGTGCGGGGCCCATGCTGGCCAACCTGCTTCTGGGGTGCCCCCCATTCCTTCCCATCGTCCTGCCCCTTCTGCTCCTCTTTGATCTCCACCATTTCCGCCCTCTCCAGTCCTGGCAGCTCTTCTCCTCATCCCCATGTTCAGTCTCCCTCCTCCACCTTCACTCCTCCTTCTCCCACCCCCTCCTCCTCCTCCTCTTCCTCCTCCTCCTCCTCCTCCTCCTTGGCCTCCTCCTCCCCCTCCTCCCCCACCTCCCCCACCTCCTCCTCCTCCTCCTCCTCGTCCTCCTTCCCCTCCCCCTCCCTCTCCCCCTCCTCCTCCTCCTTCTCCTCCCCCTCCCCCTCCTCATCCCTTTCTGATCCCCTTCAGTTGCGGGGCGAACCCCCTGTCAGCCTTACGCGACAATCCTTTGGAGTGACGGAACGCGCCCCCTGGCGCCCGCCCCTGCGCAGCGAGACGGCGCGACGCGCGGCATGGATTATGGCATGACTTCCGGCATGAATCCAATATGAATCTGGCATGAACATGGCATGACACATTTGCATAACCAAAATCAGTTCTAAATGGTGCATGACAAATTTGCGCCGCATTTTATGCCATACTCGTGATTTCATGGTCGCCACGCCACCCTGGGCGCCCTCTGGCAAGTTTTTCATGCCACCCCGCGGCTTCTCTCTTCAGTTCTCAGGCGGACGCGAGGCGAATGGTCTCCATCCTCGCCCCCCTCTGGGCCTTGGGCATGGTTGGCCAAATCAGCGTCACATCGTTGAACGTCAGGCGTGTTGGTGTAGGTTGGTCCC